AAAAGTTTCTAAAACTCTTTATATTGATGTATAATTAAATGTAATAATTTTAAAAATTATATATATATAAATTCTGTCCAAAATCGATCACACTTATCACTTTTATACAAAAAAAACCTAAATATTGTAATTTAACAAGTATTATTTATATGTTGTTTTTCTTTTACGATTCCAAGGCTAAATTAATAGTAAAATGTAGTAATACATATTACAAAATATTGAACGTCACTCAGTAACAAATCAGAATTCAAAGTTCCTCAAACTTTGCTCTAGGCAATAACAAATAAAACCTTTCTCCAATATGGTTTCATGCATTCTCATGCTTTCAAACTGTATAATATACTACAGTGTATTCATATAAAGTATACTTGGATAAAATAATTTTTGACCAATCTCGGTTAAAAGGGACTCCTCTTCTTTTTTATTTTTCGTTTAATATAATCCAAATAAACTGTATATAAGTTAAGGAATTGTCTATATACAATTTATTTGGAAGATTAAACAATATTATTCGTAGTTAAAATAAAAATATGTTAGAAATTCACATAATATAAGTCAACATCAAAATTATTTCTACATTGTCAAATGTATATTTTATATACCTAAATGACAATCAAAGTAGAATTATTTTACAATAATAATCAATTTCAATATTATCACGTACTTTAGACGCATCCTAATCTAGCAGAAGATTAACCTCGATGACCATGCCATTCCATCACGCGTTCTTATACACCAGATTCCTAATGTTTCACTTCACTGAATATATGTCTAAACGTCTACTGTAAGTTCAATTTAAATCGATCACTGCTACATACAACCTTTGATTTTCATTTCATCTACACGTTAAAAAAAAAAGAATATATTTTTTATCTTCTTGTCGTTGATAAACTAATTGGATTTCTTGACAAATAAATTTGACTGATATTAAACATTTTAATATAAAGAAATATATTTTTTCCTTACAGATTCATACACACGCCTCAATGTTTATTTGTCCATTATGACATGTTGTTATAAAAATATATGTAGTCTAAATTGACTGAGTTAGAAGTATCTCCTGTTGTTCAATCGGTAATTTACAGTTCAGTACTTTTCATAAGATAAACGGATAACAGCTGATTGTCATCAATTAATTAAAATCATAATAATTTCACGGATATATCTGATGAATACTGTGTAATTTCATAGAAATTGTATTAAATTAACAAAATAAAACTTAAAATTAAAACTGACAAATTGCTAAGGTGGTTTAAAATGATAAAGGCGAGGCTCTACAAGCTTATTTGACCTCTACATATGTGTTAAGCTAAATACTTGTATAGTAGAGTGCTCATGTGATTAAACCAGTTTGACATGCAAATACTGTTAAACGAGGATCAAGCCGAATAGAAAATCACGCTGTTAACGAAAGATTTATTGAAGAAATATGAATAATAAAATGAAAAATGAGATTATCTATTTTTTTTTAATTGAGTTTATCTGTAAAACCATTTTTATGAGATATACATGTCCTTTTTTACTTGTGATTTTTTTTTTCATCGAGGGCTAGGCCGAATTGGAAAATATGTTTAATATAGTCTCTTAGAACCCAGTTCAAAACACAGGTTTTTTATTTGCAAAGCATTAAGACGCAACAAGCATTTTTAGAAATATTAAAAAATTATAAGGAAATTTATGTTTAATTATTAATTAGGAGTTGACAATAAATTTACTAAGATTGAAAGACGATATATAAAAATTATTTAGAACGAAGATGGATTTTTTGCTAGTATTTTAATAAATACTAGATGTATTCAATGATAATAATATTTTGGTTGGTGGACATAATGAATAACATACAGGAAGCGATTAGGAGTTACATGCTGGGTGTCACGCATCAGTTATTCCCCTTAAACAGGTATAGGTAAGCAGCAAGGATACAATGTTATAGGAACCTCTGTATAAGTGAGACTTTCTGGTGAAGACACTTTTCCAGAGCTAATATATGTGCGAGCGTACAAAAGAACAATAGATAATACACCTGTGCGCCACTTGAAGTTCTCATACTTAAATAAAGCAAATTGGACTACGTATACAACTGTGTATATACTTTTATTTTCATATAAATAGATTTTCTAAGACTAATTTGCTTATACAATTTACATTAAATTTGTATTACTCAAACTTTTTTATATTTTGTTTTATAATAGAAATACCATTATGCGCAATACTCTAACAATAAATTCCTAATAAGTTTAAACATAATTAATATTTTTTCTTATATTATAACAGCGTAATTTTCACTAATATTAAAATAGTTATTTGATAGGTTACATTAATTACTTTTTTTTTTATTAAAATTTATCAAATTATGATCACCGAGTGCGCTATTATCGGTGCATTTTATGAGGTTTAAATTTTAAAGTCGTACTAAAAGTAAAAAGTTTATAAAAATAGTAATATTATTACATAAAAAAGCCAATTACTTAAATTTATTGTATCAATCCTCTAACGTAAGTAAAAGTTGAATTTTAGTGTTAAAGGAAAATTACAAAATTACTGGTAATATTTTGGGTTTAATATTAATTCTATTATAAAACCAAATACAAAATTAACAATATTAAAATTAGTACATTTATATATTATATAAACTTTTATATTTTACAACACACACTATTTCTAGTAATAATTGGGGGTCAGCTATATCCCTTTAGCTCTACTTGGCTACTCCGTTCTACTCATATCAAAATCAGAAATTACAGTAAAGTACTATTTATTTTGTCATAATATGAAGAATTTAAAAAAACAAGTGTTTCAATAATTTATCATTTATATAATGATTTTATAAGTGGTAAAAATTATCTTATGTATTGTATCATAGCTTGTCATCTTGTCAATCTTAATAAAGTTCAAAGATAACCTTACTTAACGAAATTATCTGTTTGAAAGGTATTTGAAAATATTTTAGTAACAAACGTATGAACACTAATATAAGACATTTCTATTAGCTTACTCAAAATTGAATTAAAATTTCACTCAGTAAAACTAACTTATCTAGAAGTTTTTGCATCCGATTTGATAGAGCTTAGTTACAAATAATAATTTATGTGAGTATTACTCATTTATTAATTATCATAAAGGCTAATAAACTAAATTATTGCTGGTATATCAAAAACATAGTAATGAGCATAGGTTCTCACGTAGATGCGGTTTCGGTTGGTAAGCAATTCCCACGAAGCCCTTCGACTATGTAATATATTTTCACGGACAACCCTTATGTCTTATTACGAGAAAATTAATTTTTGCTTCCTTTACACACTATTGTTATCGTGCGCACACGCCGGAACATTGGTCTAAGTCGAAATTTTGGATTACATGCAATAAAATAAGAAACAACTTTGTGTATCCTTCATTGGGTGCTTCACACCTGTGCCTAACCAAACTACGATGTTTAATATTAGAATTTCCTTTTGATTTTTCTAACACAATGTTTTTTGTTGGTGCTATTCATATAAATAAAATCATTAGCAGCGTAAATGGTCAATTGTCATGTCATCCCACCGAGGGACGACAAATCCATACATATTACACTGTGTTTATAAACCCCTCGATAAATGCCTTGAACCATCGTACCGTATATCCTGCTTCCTTATAGTCTATTGACGAATAAATGTAAAAAACCTGTCCGTCATTATACCGAGTTAAGTGTATTGATGTGTTATTTTAAAAAAACAATTTGTTTAGACAAAACTAGGTTACTATACAATTGCAGTAATCATTCAAGAAGTTTATGAGGCCACTAAGTATGATTTCCAATACATCATATGCAATTATTATATTTATAATACCTAAATATAATTCACTAAAATATTAATATGATACCGGTTACTAGTACATATAATCACTGCATGATATTAATAGTAAACATATTATAAAAAAATCTATTTCATCTCTTTTTAATTTTATTTCAAATATGTAGACGACCATTTCAACTTATTTCTATCGTTCTGTATATATGTTAATTTAATTATGTGCAACAAATAATTTATGTTAATTTTTGAAACACATGTGCGCTATTATCAATTGGGTATCATTCTGTAAAATGTTTATCACTGTATCTAATGCCAATATATATATATATATATTATATA